AATAGCTACAGACCTCCAAACTTCGTGTGGCCTTCAGATTGGCACAACAGTGCGTAGAGAGCTTCATGGAATGGGTTTTCATGGCCGAGCAGCTGCATCACCGAGTGCAATGTAAAGCGTCGGATGGAGTGGTGTAAAGCACGCCGCCACTGCACTCCAGAGAAGTGGAGAAGTGTTCCCTGGAGTGACGAATCACGCTTCTCTGTCTGGCAATCTGATGGATGTGTGTGGGTTAGGCGCTAGCCAGGAGAACGGTAGTTGCCTGACTGCAATTTGCTAAGTTTGGTGGAGGGGGGATTATGGTGTTGTTTTTTTTTTTCAGGGGGTTGGGCTTGGCCCCTTAGTTCCAGTGAAGGGAACTCTTAAGGCATCAGCATACCAAAACATTTTGGACAATTTCATGCTCCCAACTTTGTGGGAACAGTTTGGGGATGACCCCTTCCTGTTCCAACATGACTGAGCACCAGTGCACAAAGCAAGGTCCATAAAGACATGGATGACCGGGTTTGGGGTGGAGGAACTTGACTGGCCTGCACAGAGTCCTGACCTCAACCCGACAGAACACCTTTGAGATGAATTAGAGCGAAGACTGCGAGCCAGGCCTTCTCGTCCAACATCAGTACCTGACCTCACAAATGCGCTTCTGGAAGAATGGTCAAACATTCCCATAGACACACTCCTAAACCTTGTGGATGCCTTCCCACAAGAGTTGAAGCTGTTATAGCTGCAAAGGGTGGGCCAACTCAATATTGAACCCTACGGACTAAGACTCGCATGCCATTAAGGTTCATGTGTGTGTAAATGCAGGCGTCTCAATACATTTGGCAATATAGGGTTATCAAGATCTCTGAAACTATAACCAGGTTAGTAGTACCAGTACAGTTTACGGTCACCTGATCCCTTGGTTTTTAGCGAAATCATGCAATCACTGATGTTCCTAGGGGCACTTATAGCTTACATCAAGGACCCTAAACCATTTGTTCTTAGTGAAATAGTTGCTCCACTAGGATGGATTTTCTTAGTTGGCCTTCTTCATGGTTGCCATATGTCCCACTTTGTGGAGGACAGAATCATTTTGCAAACTGCCCCTGTAACTTAGTAAGGTTAACACCTTTTCTAGCAAAAGATACAGACCTTATCATCTCTTTATCATAACGATAGCAACAAGTTTGATTTTTACCAGCCAGGTTGGTAAAATACCATCCAGATGACAAACTTGTATCTCAGGTGTCCTGCCATAGTGGAACACGAAAGGTGCCTTCAGTTCTTCTGGCAACTATGTTAATAGTACCCTCATGCTATGGCTGCTGCATAAATTCTACTGTTGGGAGGAGTCCAACACTGGCAACAATGTTAGGTTGAAGAAGCCTGCCACATGTATTGTATAGCCAACCCATTGTAGGGTCCCTTTATCAGGGCAGACATAGTGATTTCGGTCACTATGTCTGCCCTGATGAAGAGACCCAGTGCATACGTCAGCGGGAGTGAAAGAGTTAAACACCACTATTATTGCTGTCAGACACAATCCCGATAAGTTGCACCCTCTGAACACACATAAAAGACACAAGTGAATGCAGCTCTGTAATCATTAAATGTTCTGTTTAAATGCTAGCAGTGCAGATTCCTGAATTTGTCCCTGTACAGCAGAGATACAGTACAAGGTATATGTATCGCCATGAGAGGAAGAGAAAGCAGAGTGACGGAGAGATGAACTCATCACTGTGCTGCTTCTCCTTTCACTGTCCAGTCACAGGCTGGGGCAGATGACCTGGGCTCAGAGGAAGTGGGTCAAATGATGCTGACCATCAGACTGAGGACATGTAATGGCAAGAAAAGTACTACAGGGGAAATCCCTTGGGTGAAGGTGAATACTGCAGCAAAAGTTGCTGAAAAGATTGTTCAGTGGTTAGTCACATTCAGCTGGATTTGTTCTGTAAGTCATGATGTAGCTTATCCCAGCCAACTCTTCAGTTCTCTATGCACATGAGAATCTGATTGTACAATCTCCTACAGCAGAGTAAATTAGTCAGTCTGAGGTGGTCACTTCAGGCTCTTAAGGTGCCCATACACCTTACGACCATCGCAAGACCTTTGTCATGCGATGGTCGTAAGCTCATTGAAAGCTCGTACGATCTGGCCATCTTGGACGGGCAGATCGTACTTGCGATCATCGAAAGCCCGCCCCGCTGAGGGGCGGCCTTCTGGTCCATAAAGACATGGATGACCGGGTTTGGGGTGGAGGAACTTGACTGGCCTGCACAGAGTCCTGACCTCAACCCGACAGAACACCTTTGAGATGAATTAGAGCGAAGACTGCGAGCCAGGCCTTCTCGTCCAACATCAGTACCTGACCTCACAAATGCGCTTCTGGAAGAATGGTCAAACATTCCCATAGACACACTCCTAAACCTTGTGGATGCCTTCCCACAAGAGTTGAAGCTGTTATAGCTGCAAAGGGTGGGCCAACTCAATATTGAACCCTACGGACTAAGACTCGCATGCCATTAAGGTTCATGTGTGTGTAAATGCAGGCGTCTCAATACATTTGGCAATATAGGGTTATCAAGATCTCTGAAACTATAACCAGGTTAGTAGTACCAGTACAGTTTACGGTCACCTGATCCCTTGGTTTTTAGCGAAATCATGCAATCACTGATGTTCCTAGGGGCACTTATAGCTTACATCAAGGACCCTAAACCATTTGTTCTTAGTGAAATAGTTGCTCCACTAGGATGGATTTTCTTAGTTGGCCTTCTTCATGGTTGCCATATGTCCCACTTTGTGGAGGACAGAATCATTTTGCAAACTGCCCCTGTAACTTAGTAAGGTTAACACCTTTTCTAGCAAAAGATACAGACCTTATCATCTCTTTATCATAACGATAGCAACAAGTTTGATTTTTACCAGCCAGGTTGGTAAAATACCATCCAGATGACAAACTTGTATCTCAGGTGTCCTGCCATAGTGGAACACGAAAGGTGCCTTCAGTTCTTCTGGCAACTATGTTAATAGTACCCTCATGCTATGGCTGCTGCATAAATTCTACTGTTGGGAGGAGTCCAACACTGGCAACAATGTTAGGTTGAAGAAGCCTGCCACATGTATTGTATAGCCAACCCATTGTAGGGTCCCTTTATCAGGGCAGACATAGTGATTTCGGTCACTATGTCTGCCCTGATGAAGAGACCCAGTGCATACGTCAGCGGGAGTGAAAGAGTTAAACACCACTATTATTGCTGTCAGACACAATCCCGATAAGTTGCACCCTCTGAACACACATAAAAGACACAAGTGAATGCAGCTCTGTAATCATTAAATGTTCTGTTTAAATGCTAGCAGTGCAGATTCCTGAATTTGTCCCTGTACAGCAGAGATACAGTACAAGGTATATGTATCGCCATGAGAGGAAGAGAAAGCAGAGTGACGGAGAGATGAACTCATCACTGTGCTGCTTCTCCTTTCACTGTCCAGTCACAGGCTGGGGCAGATGACCTGGGCTCAGAGGAAGTGGGTCAAATGATGCTGACCATCAGACTGAGGACATGTAATGGCAAGAAAAGTACTACAGGGGAAATCCCTTGGGTGAAGGTGAATACTGCAGCAAAAGTTGCTGAAAAGATTGTTCAGTGGTTAGTCACATTCAGCTGGATTTGTTCTGTAAGTCATGATGTAGCTTATCCCAGCCAACTCTTCAGTTCTCTATGCACATGAGAATCTGATTGTACAATCTCCTACAGCAGAGTAAATTAGTCAGTCTGAGGTGGTCACTTCAGGCTCTTAAGGTGCCCATACACCTTACGACCATCGCAAGACCTTTGTCATGCGATGGTCGTAAGCTCATTGAAAGCTCGTACGATCTGGCCATCTTGGACGGGCAGATCGTACTTGCGATCATCGAAAGCCCGCCCCGCTGAGGGGCGGCCTTCCGATGACCGCAGTGAGGGGCGGGCTTCCGATGACTGCAAACGGGGAGTGTGCGCGTGAGCAGGCCACTAACTCGTTCTCGGCGGGTTTTCAAGCCTGCTTGTTCGACGGAAGACGTGCGACCGTACAGTTGAAACGGTTGCACGCCTTCCATACACTGTACGATCGCGGGATTTCCCGCAATTCTCGTACAATGTATGGGCACCTTTAGGAACCTGCGGCTCTGTCCGGCTTCCCACTCAGCTCACCGCCGTCATTGGTTGCCAGGGAGATAAGCAGGACACTGGCTAGCATCCCACCAAGCACCTGGCAACGCAGCGACGTTAGTGCGCTGGGTGGGCCTGGACAGAGCGCCGCTGACAGCCATGGCTCTAACACAGCCACCTGTCTGACCACATCCGCCACCCTTCCCCTAAAAGAACTATTACCACCATGGGCTGTCCACATGCAGCAAAGCAGCTCACACAGCAAATTCTACCTACACATTTGTTCGCATTTAGCATGCAGGCAAAAAACATGCATTTTGCCTGCTGTGATTGAGATGCAGGAAGCACGTGCCACGTTTTGAACACGTTCAGGGAAGGCCAAAAGGTGATTATAGAAACATTGTACAGTCAGCTTGTATGGTGACCCTGAATGAGACAGCTTATGCCTGGGGCCTCATCTCCAGCAGTGTATATAATACCCCTTGCAATATGGTGCCATTTTCCTCCTTCCAGGTGGATCTTCTCCCGGGCGGAGGCCATGTATGCCATGCCCAGCCATTCCTCTCGGCAGCGCCCTTTAAATGAAGATAATGGTCTATTCGATAAGATTCGGACACACAATAGCCAACCGTTAGTGTCTGCGTCATCCCTCCCTCCGCCAATCAGAACGAAGATTCCGGTGTGCGTGAGAAGCCTGGGGCACTGGAGTGGGCAGGACACTGGAGCCACTGGAGTGGGCGGGGCATCGGAGATGGGCGGGGTCGGTACGATCGGAGGACGTCTGCTGGAGGAGATCCTCAGTCAGGTCGCAGCAGTGTTGGGTGCAGGCGGACGGGGAACACCGGATCTCTCGTAGAGTGATGAGAGGGTGGAACCAGCTCCGGGTGGCGCCATGATACCGGAGAATGGAAGCGGATCAAGATGTGTCCCTTAGAGAGCAGCTCTTCCACGACTGGGTCCGAGAATGCATAGTGAGTAGCGGCCAGCGAATGGTTAATCCAGGCAGGAAGGGGTGCAGGGTTAACCCGCTCGGTGCCGGAGCTCAGGGCCTGTGCTGGGGGAGGTTGTTGTGAGAAGTGGTGACCGCTGATCGGAGTTTGAGGGTGTCCTGTGTCACCTGTGGATCACTGAACTCACTACGTGTCAGCCATCGGGAAGCTGCAATTTGTGCCATTATCCGACCTCAGTGACCTGCTGCTACCCATGGCTCCATTTATTTCCCACTTCCAAACACCGGACTGTTGTGGTGGTGGTGGAATTCATTGGAACTGAATCTAACATTAAGTTGAAAATAGTTTCTGGTCAATCCTCATTTCAGTTTTGATCACTTTAATTAGGTCGCCATTCACACCTGTTCTGATGGCTTCAGCCGTCTCCCGTCAATGCACGACAAAATGAATCGCATTATTATCTATGGGGCACGTTTACACCTATGCAACATACTTCCGTGCCACTTTAAAACGGCGCAGGTGATTTCTGTAAGTGCATTTATAGCCCCGTAGATCTTGATGCGAGAGCATAAAAAATGCTTGTCTTAGCCTGTGCAACACAGTCCATGAGCACAACGAATCGTTTACAGCAAACAATAGGTGCAGCGGTGGCCTATGGATAGCTCTGTATCAGAGCAAAGAAACATGGGACACCGGCATTCCAAACTCATTGACATCCTTTATTGATGCATGTGGTAATCTCACATAGTGGCAACGTTTTGGGGTCACGCAGGATCCCCTTCATCAGTCATTGGCCCATGCAACAAGCTCCACCACTTAGCAATCTTGTTTTATTTCACCTTCACTGGCCAGAACAAAAACATATAACACATGAACAACTCTTACCAAAATGCATGGCAAATGCACATAGACTCAGGCCCCTTACACACGGCGCCCCTCCGCTCCCTTCAGAAGGGAATCTGTGAACGGACCCCTAGTGATCACAGCAGTATGGAACGGATGTTACTTTCATGACATCCGTGTCCGGTCATTTTTTTTACTCCATCATACACTGGAGCAAAAAAATCAACTGAACTGACCCATGTTGGGTGTGCGCGCAGCCACATGTAAGCGGACATGTGTCCATTTACATCTGGTTACCTCCGATCTGTCACATTTAGGTCCAAAAGGACACAAACATTCTCTCAGAACTGAACTGACTTGGAGGTAATCAGATGTGAATGGACGCCGGTCCCCTTTCCATCCAGCAGCCCATAGAGTTACATTGGCCTTCACATCAGATCCGTCTGAAAAACTGTCAGATGGACCTGATTGGACGGTCCGTGTGAAAGATTGAGATTGCTGCGTCTGAAGGCTGATCTCTACAACATTTCCAAATGCATGACCAGTATTAAGGCGCCCATTTGTCAGTGAAATAATCGTTTTTGTTTGAGTATTTGATACACATTACTCCAATGATCATTAGATATTGCGCAGTCGTTTTTTTTTTATCATTGTATCGGTTGTTGCGATTGGAGGATGGTTTGGTTGGATCTTTTGGGCTTCTATCATTGGCAGAAATCTTTTCCATCTCTTCCTGCGTATATCTGATAATATATGCACATTGGCCCTGTGATCTCGCACGTTGTCTCTGAGGACCTTCAAAGAATGCTTTTAGAACTAACTTTGACATCTTCTCTTTCCATAAGTTGTAAATAGTCGCTTTGCCTCCTGGTAGACTTCCTCGCCATTGTCCAATCTTGGCAGTGGTTGACCTCGCGGAGAATTACACCCGGGAGCCGCTATTGATCTCTTCTTAGTTGATGGTTTCTGATGTCGGTACATTTTGCTGAATATTGACACGCTTTCCATGGATCAATTGACTTCAGGCTAATGATGAATGGAAATGCTCAACTTGTCTTTTATGACTCCACGCTCAGTGCCACTGACCGCCCTCTGATGGGGGTCTACTCAGCTGATTTCCTGTACCATTTGGAATGGGGGGAGGGCTGTAGTGTCACCGGCAAGATACTGCTCTCGGCTAGGACAGATGCAGTCCTCCTGCTTGTTATTTCCTATGGTTTGCTCTAAGGGGTGATATCCGGTATTGGGTTAGAGCTGGTCTACAGTTGAGGATGGTGATGCAAATTATTTTGATGCGTTGTTGCAGCAAATGGATTGTGCATGTGTCAAATGATTACAGCAGACAATACCAGGACACTGGAGAATAACGTGCCCCCCCCCCCCCCCCCCGCTCTCCATTATGGAAGTGGGGAGAAACAAAGTGCTTCATAGACTGTTGGAGTAAGATGTTTGCTGAAGAAGCAACTTGCTTTTAATGTGAATAAAGGACCACTTGGTGGTGGCTGCCGTTTGCCAGCAAACAGCCAGAAGCTTGCCCTGGGACCAGAGCATTAAGCTAGTCATACACCTATAGATTATCTGCAGATTTTCTATGGTCAGATGGAAAAAGGGCAACAGATTCCTCCATCTACGCTAAACTATGTGGAATCTCCCACTAGGCCAAGCTTCAGTATCTTGCCCGTCGGCCCCGCTGGCTCTCAAAATGCCTGAATCCAATCAGATTTTTCAGGATATTTGACAGCCAGCAGGGATACTGAAGCCTGGCCCAGATTTCTCCATCCACACAGTTTAGCGTACATGGAGGAATCTATTGCACTTTTTCGATCTGACCATAGAAAGTCTGCAGATAATATATAGGTGTTTGGCCAGGCTTAGGTTTCATTCCCACAGACCCATATATAGGAGTATGGGCATACAGAGGAAAATATGCCTGCATATGCACTACCCGGGATCCGCAGCTGTTGCATATTTGTGTCCATAGGATTGAATGGACACTATACACTGTCAGCAGAGGTGCATGTGTAAACCAGCATTTACACATGCACATGTATGGGTGTACAGGTGAAACGCGAATAATTCGAATATTGTGCAAAGTTCATTTATTTCACTAATGCAACTTAAAAGGTGAAACTAATATATGAGATAGACTCATTACATGCAAAGCAAGATAATTCAAGCCGTGATTTGTCATAATTGTGATGATTATGGCTTACAGCTCATGAAAACCCCAAGAACCCCAAATCCACAACCTCAAAAAAGTAGATTATTACATGCAATCAATAAAACAAGGATTGTACATAGAACAATATCGGACCTCTGAAAAGTACAAGCATGCATATGTACTCAGTACTTGGTTTGGGCCCCTTTTGCAGCACTTACTGCAATTACTTTTGCACAATATTCTAATTATTCGAGTTTCACCTGTATATTCTGAATGCGCAAGTTTTGTGTTCAGAAATGTAACCCTGTGCACGTTCAAATGTCGGTACCAGCATACACCCAGGTACGTCGTTTTCTGTCCATACATTTATACACCTAGCTTTGCTCCTGAATATGTGTATGAGCCCTTACTCGGCAAGTTTTGGACCTCAGCGGATAGACCACTGCTTTCAAGCACAGAGCAAGGGTCCTTTACTTCAGCGAACAAGTTCTTCTGCTCTTTATAAAGAAGAGGAAGTGTAAGTGCCCGTTCACACTAGCCCGCATGCTAAAATGTCCAAAACTGAACTTCACCTTATCCTGCCAAGCATACTCAGGCGCCAAACTTAGGTAATATCCTTCTGTGTTTCTCAAGGGTTACGCAGTCTGTTGATCTGGTTGTCACTTTTCTAGTTTCCTGTCACTAGCTGATGTTGTCTTTATCAGCATCCTGCGTTGAGGACGCGCCACGCCATTATTCCAGCATGTGTGAGAAGTTCATTTGACAGCTAGTAACTCCTATGTACGTAATCGGGCTTAGGCAAACATTACTGACACTTAGCAGCCAAGGGAAAAAAAGGTTACAGACTTAACCTGTGCTAAGAATGGAAGGATGCCGCCATTCTTGGCACAGGAACACGCTCAAGCACTGAAACTGTTTTAGATTTCATTACTGTTTTCAGGTCTTTTAATGATTTCTTTTTTAGGGTTTCATTCTGTGGCTGCTGTGCATTTCAGGATCTCAAAGCTGAACCGCAGGCAGATCTTAAACAGTGGTTGATGCTGATATGTAAATGTACATTTAAATGCAAGTAGTTTTAAGTTCCCTCTAGCAGTAGAACTGAGACTGGGAGAAGGGGGACAGCACTAGGAGCCAGTAAAGTGTGCTGTAGTATACAGTACATGTGCTGACAAGGGTGGTGAAGAGCTTGTTGGTCTGCTGCTTCTCTGTCCAGTCATAGGCTGATATGCATTTGTAATGTGCACAGGGTAAGAAGGGCGAAGAGCTTGTCAGTCTAAAGCTGGTCACACACCTTACAATTTATCTGCAGATTTTCTGTGGTCAGATGGAAAAGGTGCAACAGATTCCTCCATCTACACTTATCTGTGTGGATGGAGTAATCTCCACCTGGGCCAATCTGTTGCACTTTTTCCATCTGACCACAGAAATCTGCAGATAATTGTAAGGTGTATGGGCACCTTTATGCTGCTCCTTCACTGTCTAGTCATAGGCTGGGGAAAGGGACCTAACCTAGATTTACTGATCTAACAGAAGTCAGGTGGTCATGTACCTGGCTATGCCGATAGGGCTGTCCAAATATCAGGACTAGGGCTGCAGATAACGATTATTTTCAAAATTGATTAGTTAGCCGATTATTGAGTTTGATTAATCGGATAAAAAAATAACATAAAATCCATTTTAAAAAATGGCTCCAATGATGGGACTACTAGTTTGTTTTGAGATTGTAGTCCATCACAGGAGCAAGCTTGGAGCGGTGGAAGTAAAAAAGAAAAAAAAAAAAGTGTGGTGTGCAATATAGTGAAATGAAAAGTGTGAAATTATACAGCAATGAATGCAGAATGGCACCGGCTATAGAGAACTACAAAACCTAGCAATAGTACATTATACAGAGCAATGCGGAATACCACCAGCTATAGAGGAATACAGCAAATCCCAGCAATAGTACATCATAGCTGGCGGTATTCTGCATTGCGCTGTATAATGTGCTATTGCTGGGATTTGTAGTCCTCTATAGCTG